TTGTGCTAGAACTGCAGAGGAGATTTCTTCATGTCCAGAAATTTTATCAAGTTTGTGAAGGAGAGAAACCCACAGTCATCTCCATTCCAGTGGTTCATTGGAAAAAACATATCTTGTATTAAATACTTTAAAGATTCATGAAGCAGCTTTAATTTTGTTTGCATTTCTTCCTGAAGGGTAAAGCTGCCAGAAATCTCTAAATGCATTGCCTAATCCGTTTCCAAACTCAGTATATTAAGGTCTGCAAGCAAAACTCGTTTTTGGAGTTTAGCAAGTATGCAGACAGGAGAGAAGGCAGGAGAAAGAGAGCAGGGAAGATTTTTCTTTCCTTGGTAATGCACTGAACTACCCGCATGGCTGTAGTATCAGTCCTTCACAAAAAATAGTGCAGCTCAAATGGACTGTAAGACCATCTCTGATAAACAGAGGACTTTACAAGTTTCTGTTGGATCAGATACAAATAGAGTAAATACAGCTATCAAGAAATGACAGTTCAGACAAAGGAAAATTTCCTTCCCTTTATTGTCTACATGCTCATAGGGCTGCCATCAGCAGGCTCATGTGCAGCTGAGAAAGTTTTGTTTTCTCATTGTCCCAGTTTCTAATCTATGACCTTTTTTCTGTTAGTATGTGATTTTTTTCCCAAGGTTCTCATCTGCCAACTGAAGAGCCTGTCCTGTTTTCTTATGCCTGCATAGAGAGTGCTCACAGTTGGGCTTGGGGGCTGGCTGGGAAATGTTTGTTTAAGGAACCAGTTTAATGCAAGGGAAAGAATGAGTGAAAATGATCTCCAGAATAGAGAAACATGATCTGACATCAAGCTCTCTGTCATGTACAAAGTAAATACCTCTAGGTTGCCAGCCAAGCTCTGCAGTAGCAAATACAGAGCAAGAGCACTCAAAGACTCTTCTCAAGACAACAGCAGGATGCCTCAGGTTTGATGCTTGGCATTTTGTATGAAAGGTGCCTGAAGGGTTATTTCACATATCAAGTCTAATCCATCCTCAGCTGGTCTGTGAAAATGATTAGCCATGGCATCAGCTGTTGCTTGGAATTGCTAGTCCTAAATGCATCCAGCGGTGTGTTTCTCTACAGCATACCTATGTGCCTGGAGGAGAGGCACTGCTGCTCACGCAGACCTGAAGTCCTTTGCTGGTTATACACTGTGAGACCTGATGACAGTTCATAATACTAATTTATAATCACAGTAGTATTAAATGTGAGCTATGCCTGGCCAGCTTAGACTGTTGTTAGCTACCACAGAGGTCAAATGTAAGCTCTAAGTTCTTCCCAAACTCAGTAGTGTTAGACAGATATTAATGAGGCCATTTCAGCTATCAATGATTATAATTGTCCTCCCTCACCTGGTTGCCACTGTTCATAATGTGATCAGACCTGGTGCAGAGAAGTGGAGGGCATGGTGGTACCCAGCTCCCTTCCCTGGCAGAGTGCTGGGCGTAGTGTTGGTGCTGTGGGCTCCCCAAGCAGGGCTGCCTTAAACACCCAAGCACTTTACTGCACAGTATCAGGGCTGCCAGAAATGGATGGTTTCTTAATTTCTTACCAAAGTTGTTTGGGTGGTAAGGTTGAAGCATATAAAGGTGTGCCTTGCTAGGACACCTGTGTACAGTTTGGTGTCTTCGCTTTCTGGTTACTTTTCTTCTCAAATAATAAAAGTGACTAATCTTGTGTTAAGCTCCTCTATTGTTAGCTCATAGGTTTCTTGCCTGATGCTTTCCCTCTGTCTCCAGACTGCTGCTTCAACCGTTTTCTGAGAGGATGCCCTATGCCTTATTAAAAGTCAATAGGGTTGTTATAGCCTTATTTTTTTCCTGGGACTTCTCTCCTGCTGCCATGCTCCAGGGCCAAAACCAAGAGCTGCACGAAGGAGGACTTCATGTCTCCTTCTGACACTCTGACTTCCTCAACCTTGCACACAGGCACAAGTGAGTGAATGTTCCATTGCAATGCACCTGGTCTGTTGTCAGCATCTGGCTAAGCAAGGGGGATGTAAGGTGGCAGCAGGCGTAGTTGTGCTTTGATGGTAGTGCATTCTTGCATGTGACTTGCTAATGCCGCTATTTGGCTCAGAGTGTCAATTGCTGGTTAGAATTTCTTGGAATGAAGGAAGTATTAACTGTAAATTGCTGTGGCTGGTATCTAATTACAGAATACATTGGGAAGCACTTGGGCGACAATCCAACAAAGCACTTAAGCACCCACTGATTTTTAAGGAAAGGCCCCTTGACTGGGATTGCTGGTGCTCTCAGACATCATCAGAAGTGCTTGTTAGTGGACCAGTGCTTTCTCTTCACTACCTCAGCACATCCATCTCATTTTCTGAAGTGACTTAAGGAGTTGGGAGTTCAAGGTTGACTGGAAGTCTGCAGGAAGTAAACTCCTAAATCACTGCTGTACTTTGAAAAGTCTACTCAGCTGGACAGCTTCTTTTGCTGTTCTTCATCCTTGCTGTAATAAATAACGTTATGACAGCTTTTAAACCACTGCTAAATTCTGAGGTTTGCCTTTACCCATCTAGATGTTCCTGTTGCAGCAGGGTTGCCCAAGATATTCTGGTATGTATTCTGATATGCGATTCTTTCCAAATGCAGACATAATGCAGTTTTTCAACTATGACCTGCTAACAAAGAAAGGGGAGAACAGACAGAAGGTAGGTTGTGGTGAGAAGCGATAGGAATGACTTAACCCAGGTGGGCTAACAAATTCAAAACAGCCTTTTATCTAAAGCAGTCCGTGGTACCCTACAATGTAAGTAATCATTGAGAACCAAGGCATGAAAAGTCTTGTGAGCCAGCAAGACCGTGAAGTCACACGTAGGATAATGATGCATTGATTTAATATGACAAAGAACAAATAAACCAAAAGTGGAGGTTATGGTTTAGGTGTGCTGGTTTTAAAGCTTGAATTAGAAATACCAGTTTTCTCAGAAGGTAAGGGAGAGGATGGAGGAAAAGCACTGGGGTTTAGTCCTGCTCAACCTTTCAGCCTGGACAGGAACATGTGGCTGGATGCCCAGGTGTTTCAGTTCACTTGCCAATAAAACAAATACTTTTTACTCCGGAAAAGTTCAGCAAAATTTCTTGATCAGAAGATAAAGGAAGCCCAGCCTAATCCACTGAGGCCTTGTTCTATTTCAGTGGTTCCTTGTCTTTTCCTAGGCAAAATATTTTGGTCCTTCCACACATGCCTGTCTACTTCTGACATTTGTGTTCATCCTACCTTTCCTTTGATTGCTTGTCCCTCTGCATTGCAGGTGCTGCTTTGACTGCCCTCTCCTCCTCGCTGTACTTCCTCCTTCTCCTCCTCCTCTGCCACAGCCTCCTTGCTGTCTCCAGACTTTGACTACATGGTTTCTTTGCTTCCCTTCTTTCCTGTTAGCTCTGAGTGCTGATGCAGGACCTCACCAGGATGCGTGGCCTAGGGTGGGCTCCCTCCTCTGCCTCACTTCCACCAGCAATGCACTCACTGCCTGGGTACCAGTCCAATTTGTGGAGATGCAATTCGCTATGTCCTGCTGATACAAGTGAGGCTCTGAAGCAAATTGCTGTCAGATCAAAGATGTCCCTCATCAAGGGAAATCTTGCAAGGTCCATGTTTTTAGCTGATAGCTCTTTTCTGTTAGTGAAGTATTCCTGATGGACTTCTTTGGTATGTTGGTGTGGTCAAGAGGAAAATCACATTCAAAAAGAAATTTAAAAAGGAGGCTGTGTCAGATCATTCACACCTCCTGTAAATCTCTGTCCTTGTTCCAGGTTTATTTTTAGACTGTGTAAGAATGCTGCTTAGCCAGAAGTTTTACACAGTGGTCCTCTGTATGGTACAGACCAGCAGCAAGCTGCCAGTAAGTAGCTATGGTAACACTGTAATCAATGACAAGTACTCAAGTCTCTGAGCAAATAGTGCTGGGATAAGTAGGAATTATGAATAATTGTACTTTACTAGAAGTCATAACTGATTTCCAGAGGTTACCCAACAGTCAGTCATTTGCTACCCTCCCCATCCCCGTGACTGCTGATGGCGGAGGAAAAAAGTGATTGTTATGCCGAAGTAATGAGCAAAGAGGTCAGAAAGTTTGATGGGAGCAGGAAAAGTCATTTCCTTGTGATATCATTAGCAGTATTTTAGAGAGCAGGTTCAGTAATTGCTGTGGTAATTCTGAATGACTTTTGACTGTGAGAACACATGGTAACTTTTTAAAGTTAGTGTCTTTGCCAGTGGGAGAGAATTCCACTAAAATAAGGCAGTATGGTGTTACAGAGGGGGGTGGGCTGGGGGCTTGGGAAGCGGAGGTTCTGCTCTGTGCTGTGTGACTTCTCCAGGCCTCGGTTTTTCTGTCAAAATAGTCTATAGTAACATAAATGCATCAGTGAGCAAGCACAAAAGCAAATTGTGAATCTCAGGATGTAGCTGCCTACCAAGGCAATGTCTCAGATGGAGCAGATCTATTTCAGTAAGTGCATGCCTGTACAACAAACATCATGCATTTATTATTGCTGCACAAACTGCAAAATCGGAAAGGGTGGCAAGTGCTCCTTGTATGGGCAAATGCAAAATTTGCTTGAGTGGGTCCTGGTTTTAAAAGTATGATATCTAATTATGAGTTAACAGCAGACCTTCTGATGCTTCCCCTGGGAGCACAGACAGGCTATAGTATTGTGGGCCTTCTGCAGGTTGTTTTTGAGCTAAATCATTGATATTCCTTTGGTTTTCAAGAGATGCTTTTAACCTTCCAGAGAATAAGAGCCGCTGCAAGTCTGTGTGGGTGCAGATACGCTTTGGTTTTTGCTGAGTTGATGGAAAGGTTGCTGCTCCTAGCTATGTTGCTTCTTTTGAGCTTTTATCCCATCTTTGTTTGGGGTTAGAAAGAACAAAGCCTGCAAGTCCCTATATGCTGGAGAGCAATGAAGAGAGGACACTCTTTGGTGTGTTTTACCTCCCAGTGTCTGCTTGGGCTTCAATTCTTTCTTTCTTCTCTCCAGGTGCAAACAGATGACCTACCCAGATGACCTGCCCCAGATCTCTGTGGTCTTTATATTTGTAAACGAGGCACTCTCTGTCATCCTGCGCTCTGTGCACAGCGTTGTGAATCACACCCCATCCCACTTGCTCAAGGAGATCATTCTGGTGGATGACAACAGTGACAATGGTGAACATACATAAATTTTCCTTTAAACACTGTATCCTGTGTGGTTAATGGACATGAAATGTAAATCAAAGGGAGTTTGGTCACTACTAGCTGAAACGCTTTTTTTTTTTTTTTTACTGTTGGGATGAAACAGCATTGAATCATTCTGCATTTAAACAGCTGGGGGAGGAAGGTCATACCTGCAACTACTGATTTATGGCTAATAAGCTAGATCATAAGTTGGTGTAAATTAACATACCTCTATTGAAGTCAATAGAATTTACAAGAGTTTGTGTTTGTTGATGAGAGGGTTGATTAAACCACTTGCACGAAGCTGTGAGTAAATATTAACTATTTGTATAACAAATAAATATTATGTGGATAAACCCTGCTGATTTCATTGAAATCCTCACAGGATGAATGATATTTGTATAGGCAATTTTAATATAGAAATTATACTTTTCTCCACATTTTCAGATCCAGAGGAATATCATCATTGACTAAAACTTTAAATTTAGCTTCCAAGGAAAAGTGGGGCTACAGATTTTCCATAAAGATAGTTTCTATTTTTTTACATAGCAGCACACTCTGCTTCTTCATGATTTAAACAGGTGTTGATAATACCAGAATTTGAGTTTGATTTTTTTTTTTTTTTGAGGCAGGCTGTAAGTTAGACTATGAGAATGAAACAGAATAGGCACAAAGCATGTGCAACTTTCAGGTCATCTGGTTCATTAATGTAAAAATAACCCTTCTGTTACAGCAATCAAACCTCAAAATATTGGTGAGCATAAAGGGTGCTATTGACTAACTAGTTTCACAGTACGGCCAGGTTCGAAGACCTTTTAGGATACAGGTGACTAGCAGTGTTATAGTTGAGACTTCTAGAACTGTTGCATCTTCTCAAATCATATTTGTTAAAATAAGGCTCACGTTTAGCATTTCCTCCACAGATCAACAGCTTTAAATCTTTCAATTTTAAGTTGTTGTTCCTCTACGTGATCCCCAAAGAGAAAGGAAGGTTGAGTGAATAAATCACTAGAACAAAAATAAATTCCAAAACCTATAGGTTTAAGAAACCTTTTGTCAATCAAATTCTGCTTTCAGTTATGGCAGTGTATCCCATGGAGTAATTATGTGAGATTGCAAAGTGTTTGAGTCAATGTAATATAGAGGAGAATTAGACTCATTGTTTCTCAGTGAGCTCTTATATGGTTTTCCTCTGTCATTCTTCTAGATAACTGGAGATTTATCAGGTCTTTGATTCCAATGATAATGATTCTACTGTGTAACATAGATCAGAAGAATGAGGCTTCTAATGTCCTGGAAGCTTCTACTAGTTTTCCTAATAAATATGTTTGAGTAAAAGCCTCATTATGAATAAGTTGCAGTGTAAATGAATTACCAAACTAGATTGATTTTAAAAAATAGAGAGACCATTTTGGTAATTTCCCTGTTTATAAGCCTATTGGAATGAAGCTGAATAAAGGAGTGAATAAGTTTTGCTCCGTCTGCGGTTGAATGCCTGAAAATGAACAAAAGAGAAGTCGTTTATTTGAAATCTTCAATATCCATTTAGTGCAAGGGGGAAGAAACCTGGTATTAAGGAGTCTTAATTATATTTAAGGGAAAACCCTTAAAATTAAGGGAAATTAATTGTGATCTGAATTAGGTCTTGACCCAAAATCCATTTAGGTTATTTTTCAGACTCTTACTGAATAGCATAAATCAGAAAAAAAAAAAATTACCAGACTCCCATGTTAGACTGCTGTAAGGTCAGAATTGCTTCTCCGTAGACCACTTGTAACCTAATGCAAATCATCCAAGAATTAAAATAGTAATTATTTAAAAATATTTAGACAAAACACCTCTTCAAAACAATACTCAAATCCATCAGGCCATATTAAACATGTGCAAGTCTCTGATGCATAAAGAATTTCTCCGAGCTGATACCCCTGGAAATGGTCCATGCCACAACTGCAGTATTTGGTTTGTATCTGTGAGACTGACTAAGGGTTTAGCAATATTTAAGGATTTCTCTTCCTTTCTGTTGCAAAATAAATCAAAGTAAAACATAACATTGCAGGGCTTTTCTCATTCTGAATATTTGTGTGGGTTTTTTGTCCTGCAGTTGAGCTAAAATTTAATCTGGACCAGTATGTCAATAAAAGATACCCAGGTCTGGTGAAAATCGTGCGCAATAACAAACGAGAAGGACTGATTCGAGCCAGAATCCAAGGCTGGAAAGCAGCAACCTCTCCTGTTGTTGGGTTCTTTGATGCTCACGTTGAGTTCAACATTGGCTGGTAAGTTGTTGGCTGTTCCCACAGGGAGAGCAGTACGGTTACACTGTGCCCTATGTCTCAAAGGCTGTGAAAGAGATTTGCTCAGCAGCAGGGAAGCTGAAAAACTGTAGAGATGAGACGGTTGTAGGCTGGTGTTATCACATTAGCAATTACTTTTGAATAATACTCTTGATTACTGCAACATTGCTGACAATCTTCCACAATGACTGCAAGATCCGTAAGAAAGCTGTTGTGCCTGCACTAGTACAGCTCAGTGGAGAGAGAAGTAATTTAAACCACAATGAATAGGAAACCTCCAAAGCAGTCAAATGGGGAGACACCATTAAGGAGGCTCTGGGCTGGAGGCAGATGCATGCTTTCAAGTACTTGTTTTTATCTTCTTATCATTTTCTATCATTTCTTCTTAGAAGCTTGAATAGCAATCTGATTTCCTCATAAATTCTGTTGCATTTACGTTTGAGGGAAACACTGAATTATTTCCTGCATTTTTAATGGGGCTTGAAATCAGCATGCCTTTCCTCATCCCCTTTGCTTTGCAAGGGAGCAGTATTGACTGTGGCAAGCACAGTTTTGGACTTAACAGACCAGATCTGCACTTGGAGTAAATCTTTGTAGCACCACTTGGTGGCCAATATTTAGCAGTACTGGAAGTCTGGACCGAAGGAACTGATATGTACAGTCAGCTGAAAAAGGACTGCTGAGACCTTCGGTATGTAAAATGTGTATTTTCCAAAGATAGGCTGGTATTTGATAATGATGATGCAGGGTTATGGTGGAGCTGATTATGCTCTGCAGTTCTGGGAGATACCCCAAATTAAAACTAAAAATAACTGTACTTACAACCAGAGAGAAACTTAATTGCAAAGGAGTGGAGTATTTATTTTTATATGTTCATTAATGTCTTTATAAAATGGAAGATGCAATAAAATAAGTCTTGTAGTGCACCTGGTTTATGTTCACCCCATTTTTTAACCCAGGACTATGAAAGACTATAGTAGCAGTTGTAGTAATTTTCTAGAAGCTTAAGAGCCAGTTTATTTATTTACTTTTAAAGCAACTAGATCTTTCAAATCATCACAAGTATTCTTGTAGGGTAATATTGGCTGCTGGACAGAATTGGGGACTGGGGAGAGCATGCTGTGGGTGCTGTTCCCAGTGCTTGTCCTGCCCAAGCTGCAGTTTTCTGAGCCTTGCAGGGAATTTTTTTATCATTTCTATAAAGGACATTGAGATCTTACTGATGCACTCTACACAGAGAAGGTAGGCAATGGTGTCAGTAAGCAGGAAAGGGGTTTGTGGTTGCTTTGGGGCTTGTTTTTTTAACCTTACTACTTTGCATTAATGTCAGAAGGGGTTGAAATCAGCATAGCAAAAAGCTAGACTACTCAGTAAACGAGAGTGTGTATATATCTGAGATAAAAAGTGTTTGCGTTTACAGCGTCCTCCCTGGTGTACTCTCCTTTCAACAAGTGCGCTTAAGTCTCAGTAATACTACTGAGCCAGTCTGTGTAGCTGCTTTGAGACCACTTGGCTTCTGGAGTAGCCACAGAGGATGAATGAGAATAGCAAACGTGCACCAGAAGCATCAGGTATCCCTTTGTTTCCAGAGCCGTACGTGGAGGCTCAGAGCATTCCCTTCTGGTGTTTCTGCTGTTGTTCCCCTCAACCTTTTGGGCTGCTGACAGCCATCTCAAATCTTGTTCTACCTATTTCCTCCTAGTTTTAATTCTGTCCACCTGTGCACATGCGGTTGCCTGTCACCTCAATTTTCATCTCATCTTCTTTTACTAGGAAGGACTGGAAGTCCTTCCATCTGGACGCCTTTACTTTTTCCCACCAGATTAACATTACCCTTACTCTATAATCCTATAAACTTGGTAGTCATGCAGGAGTATCTTGTTAGAGTACTGCTGTTCTATGATCCTACTAAGTCTCATCTTGCATGAATTCCCCCCCCCATTTTCAATGTGTATTCATGTATTCAAAGGCCACATGGATTGCTCCCACTCAAAGCTGTCTATGGATTATTTGTGAGGCAATTAAAAAGAAGCCAATTCCTTTACCACAGAAAAGAGCATTAGCTTTCTGTCTGGTTTGCGTTCCATCTAGAAGTCAAGTACCTGCAGTACAATTTTAGTCTTCCAATCTATGTCTGCTTTACCTGCCTAATCAGTTGGCAGATTAATTCATAAAGAATCAGAGAAGGACTTTGTCGCTTTCTCATGAAATATGCAGGACTCTGACAACATAAAAACTTTTTTTAAAACAATAGTTGCTGCATTTATGAGTGAGTTTTTGCCTTATATTGCACTATAGCATTTTATGGGCTCTCACAGCATTACTCTCCAGGGACAATTCTTCTAAACTAAAATGCAATCTGGTAGGATATAAAAAAAATACAGCCTGGCAGGTCAAATTAAGTATTGAATTATTTATTTTGCTGTGCTTAATTGCTGCTTTTTTGCTTCTCAGGTGCTGAAATATATTAGCACAGAGCAGAGATTTTCTACTGACCTGTTCCCCTTAAGGCTTTTGATAGTGTCAGCCAATACTGCTGCTGTGAGAGCAAAAGTGAAGAGGACTAGCTGAAAGGGAGGCCATTACTATTAATTCTCAAGTGGAATTTTAAATTACTGTACATGTATACAGTTCATATGTAAAATTCTACCTGTCCTGCAGTAGAACCTTGTCTGTTTTTAATGGTGACTTAATGTCATTAGGAGTCAGCATCTAGAGTCAGCAACCCAGCAGAACCAATAGGTGTGAAAAGCTCCTGTACATTCCTCTCTGAGGGTACATTTAAGCTTGTATAGTTGAGTTTTCCCTTCAGTCCTCTGAAGATTTCAGCATTCCT